CTCTAATGGAAATTATATATATACACACACACACCTCTCAGTTTCTTAATATATATAATATATAATATATTATATATTATATATAATATATAATATATAATATATAATATATAATATATAATATATAATATATAATATATAATATATAATATATAATATATAATATATAATATATAATATATAATATATAATATATAATATATAATATATAATATATAATATATAATATATAATATATAATATATAATATATAATATATAATATATAATATATAATGTTATATTACATATACCTCTCAGTTTCCTTATTTCAAATATTTAGGATGTAAAGAGACTAAGACTGGCTCTATGTGTCATAGTAACTTCTTTCCTCATGGAAAGCCTGTGTGCAACACAAGGAAATGCCTGACTGAGCCATGGCTCACACAAAGCTTTTGTTTTACTGACAACAGCCAAACCCAGGAAATTCTCATTCCCATGTCAAAAGGCAGGTGTTTATAACCAGGCAATGCATAAAAAGAAAGCTGCCAAGCAAACCCTTCATCCTGAGCCAGGCTAATAGATGACACAATAGTGTTTGCCGATTAGATGGGAAACCTCGAAAGAAAAACGACAACCCTGGAGGAAAAGGAGTGTTGGTTTGATGGGTAAAGATACTAACTCTTCTTCTGAGTGCCAGACAGTAGAATACTGGGGCTGAGGCTGCCTTGGGGACCATTTGAGATTGTTTAAGAGCAGACTGATTAGCAGGAAGAGGAGCACCTTTTTAACCTCAATGCTCTGCTTCTGCAGGCTTCCAGATGTGGTCCAGCCACCACTGTAGGTGCTGTAGGTTGCCTCTGGGGTGCACATAAAAGGCAACAGAGAATAAATCCTTTGAAAAATACTTAGGAGCCTACAAATCTAAGCAAGTTTCATAACACTGTCCCACAATGTGCAACAGAGATGTTCACACACATAAATTCCATGGGCTTTGTTCATCATGGACATTCTGCTCTTCCTGCCCTATGTGAGAAAAAAATCTTTCCAGCATCTAGTCTGGCCATTTTTACAGTTTTCACCTTTTATGTTTGTTTGTTTGATTGATTGATTTATTGGTTGACTGATTGATTTGGGTTCTCCTTTCATTAACTTTATGGTAACCATTTCCTACTTTCTTAAATACTCCTTTACTTGTGCTGCTCTTTGAGATGCTTTAACCAGCACTGGTGTGTAGAGACAAGGCAGTGGGAGTGTGCTGGCTGCACAGCCAGACCCACAAAAGCTTTCTTGCCCTCTGGCTACCAATCTAAAGGCAACTTTCCCTAGCTCCAGAGTGTCTGTAGGCAGCATTATATCCCGAGTCAGAGATGGTTACTGACTGCATTGTAATGGTCCAGTTCCACCTGATAATTACCATGGAAAAAGCTGATGTGAACTGGAAGTTTCTTATTGACTGAAGCCCATCTTGTAGGTTTTCCACTTTAGCACAAAAAAAACCCCAAAAAAACAAACAAAAAACAACCCACAAAAACAAAACAAAAACAAAAACAAAAACAAAAACAAAAACAAAAACAAAAACAAAACAAAAACAAAAACAAAAACAAAAACAAAAACAAAAACAAAAACAAAAACAAAAGAAACCCACAAAAAAACCCAAGCCAACAAACAAAAAAACCCACCAAAACCAAAAACCAAAACAAAAAACCCAAACCAACCAAAAAACCAAATTAAAGTCAGATCTGTTTCAGGAAGCTCAAGACTGATTTCCTAATTATAATCCAGAGCAGAATGCTCAGGAGGTTTAAACTGACATAATTCTTAGGCCAGCTATGTATCTTTTCTGGGCAGAAATTACCTTTTCTCAAAACTGATATATTTTTTCCAAATGAAAAACCCCAACAATACTGTGCTGAACCTTTTTATACCCTGAAAAAAGCAGTATAGCTTCAGCAGTCAGAATTAATGTATCAGTAATTTGCCAGTCAATTCTAGCTGTAATCCCACACTTATTTCTGAGTCACTCTTCAGCAGCACCAACATCCAAGCAGGTGTAACTCCCAGAGAAGAGTCAGAAGGTGACTTACATTTGAGGAACATGATGCCCAAGCTCTTAGAATTTAAAAAACACCCCAGCAGACGTGCTGCACACCAATTCAGCCTGTGCTTTTCTTGCAGGTGATTTTGCCGGCATTCATGATGCTGGGAGCAGGTGGAGCAGGATGTTGCGCTAACAGATGTGGGGTAAGTGGATATTTATGTGTTGAAATGGCACTACAGAGTTTGTGCAATAGCTCTTGAAACGGGTGCTCAGCAGGTGGAAATGTGCAGCAACAAACCATCATACCACTGTCAGCAGCCATGACAGGGAAATGTAGAAGAGGAGCTTGATCTTCAGCGTCCCTGGGCTGGGGCTGAGAGAACAGTTAGCCAACAAGAATGTTGTGTGTTGCAGCTGCTGATAGGAGGGAAATCAGGGCCGGTGCTGGAGCCCTTAGGCACAATGCCGAGGGCAAAGGGGACTGCATCACATAAAGTAAAACATGGCTCCAGCTTCCCCTGCTCAAGGCAATCCTAAAGACTGAGACAGCTGCCTGTTCCTCCTGCTTCCACAGAGTCCTGTTTCCTCTATACCCTTCCATGGCAATCTGCTTTTCCACAGTTCATCCCTGCTTTTCTCTGTAGGCATACACAAGCCTCCTATTTGCAGATCCATGCCTAAAGCTTGAGCTGCTGCATCTGGCACTAAGGAGCAAGTGCTGCTTCCTGCAGTTCTGACCAGTAGCTCACATGTGCCCAAATGTTATGTGTTTGAAATGTGAAAATTCAGTTTAGGCTCTCTGACATCTAAAGAAAGGCCAGAAATTTTTTTTTCGTTGATAATTAAGAATATTATAAAGCAACATATTATAAAGGCATCCCCATTCATCCCTAAGCCCTGGGCACAGACTTCTGTGTGGCTATCTTTATTGACAAGAATAAACTCATGTAGAAATTTTTTTGAGTCTGCATCCTTCCCAGAAGCAGCCTGGAATGAGAGATTCCATGCAATAAAGCATGTCTCTTCTGTACCCTTCAATTAATATTTAGTCTGACCCATGAGAAATGCTTTGCTTTTTTAAAACATTTTACTTAAATTAATTCATTATTCATGATACCAAAATAGCATTCTTTATTAGGATGTCAGCAAGCACATCCCAAGGGACATGCCATTACATTGATTTTACCAGATGTCACACGCACAGACAGGATGCTAACAACGGCCAAGCAGAGCTGGGGTGAGATGCTAGACACCCTGGAAACAGTGCCTGAGCCACCTGCTTTGCTTCATTTTGAGTGATGTAGAAAGCAGTGATGAAAAACAGCCATTGTAGTGGTTCCTGCACTCACTGAATCTGGTAAGTCAAGAGGGAAAATCCAGCTGAACTGGGCTGAGTTCACACAACATCTCAGGCGTCTCTTCTCCATCCTTTATCCCAGCCCTAAATATTACAGAGCCAAGAGTCAAATTTCCTCAGGCTGGCTGGGTTCACTCCCCAGCTGTGAACAACACTGAAAGTAAGTTTACCCTGAACATCTCCTGGGGAAGAGTGATTTCCAGAAATCCAAAAAGAGGTGAGTGTAGCAGGGAGATATGAAGGCTGATGGTCTGATTCTTCAAGGGAAGAAACCTCAGGCAAAATTTGCTTTGTGAAGAGTGGAAGAAAATGCACAGACATCCACAGCAGAGGTGCTCAGATGTCCTGACTATAAGGACTGTACATGCAAGGCAGGGTATGGTGTGAGGCCCTGGAGAGCAGAGGACTCCTGGGATTGGTTCAAACATTCACAATATCAGCAACCTCCCAAAGTGCCAGAGCTCCTTGGGAAGTAGGATGGACCTGATAAGGGGTCCCCAACTACTTCCAGAGTAGGGAAGAAGGCAGAGAAATAGCCTTCATGGAGGAGCCTCTGTAATCCAAAGGCTAGTCTGGGTACCTTTCTTTGGAGACCTTAGGTATAAAATATTACACTGAATACTCAGAATTGCAGAATTGCTTGTCATAGTAAAAAAAAAAAAAAAAAAAAAATCTAAAGCATTATTACTGATCAGAATTGTTGTTCAATCAAAATGTAATATTTTCCTCAGGGCAGGGACTCTGTTCTATTATATTTTGCACAGTTCCTGGTTTAATAGCTTCAGACTTCATCAGAGCCTTTACACACTGCCAAAGTATCTTCAACAGTAATAAAAATTACTATGTTTCTCATAACTTTTTATTCACATCAGTGAGTTTTCCAGTTCATGGTGATTACATGCAACATTAAGATTTTTCATTAATCAACTTTAAATTACTACTTACAAACATATATCAGCAGCTTTTTGTCCTTGCAGTATGGAATAATGAATTTGGAAAGTAATAGATTTAGAAAGGTTCAGTGTCTTGCAGTTTAACACATACACATCTGAAATCATCCACTGCACTGATGTGATGAGGAAAAAGACCACCCAAAATACAGCTTCTCTCATTGCATTCAGCAAACATATACTCCAGTATTTCTAAATCTTCCTTAAGAGTTACTAGTAAAACAAGAAGAGCCATAGCAGCTTTCCCAACAAACAAACCTAAGCAAAGATATCCAGATAACCAGACAGAATAACAATTCCATTAAAAAAACAAAAAAACAAAACAAAACAAAACAAACAAAAAAACAAACAAAAAATCACTTCCAGGCAAAGAAATAGAAACGAAAGAAATGTGTATGGAACAAGAATCAGGCAAATAAAGAGCAGCACAAGCTGGGACAAGAGGAACTTGGTAACTTCACCAAAGCAGCTGATGCAGACATTCAAAGAATGAATTCTAACAGTCTTCATCAGCTCACCAAGGACAATTCAATTGTGTGAAGGATAAAGCAGGGAAAATCAGCAAAAATGATCAGCAAAACCTTTTCAGTAGTACAGAACAAATCAACATCATGGGAAACAAATTTCAACACACTCAAGCATCCCAGCTTAGGCCTCCTGTTGCAATTAAGGACACAAATGAGGAAATCAATGAGAAGTACAAGGGAAAATGCTGAAAATTTGAGATGATGAAATGGCTAATAAAATTCTTGGATTTTCACAGATTATGAGGCAAGCCTCCAGAAAAGTCTCAAGATAGGTAGATAAAATGGGGAAATGCCCCTGCATGTCTAGAGAATGCTGAGGAGAGCCAATCTAACAGCTGCAGCAACTTCAAGCTCCTCTTTCGGTGACAAATAAAGTCTCTGTCTAGATGATCTTGTACACAGTTACAGTCAACAGATTCCAAATGAGACAATCATGTGACAAAGCATAGTCATCACAGATAACACTGACAAGTACTACTAGAACTGCCATCATAAAACATAGTAATACTAAAAGACCATTTGGCTTTTTCTTCATAATTATCTTTGGGATGCCCTCTTCTGCTATACTGTACTAAAACTAATTGTTAACATAATTAAGATCCTTCAACCAAGAAGAAGAATGCACAGTTGAAGTAAATGAGAAAACGAGAGGGGAAAAGTGATTCAGAATAGGTAGGAGTTTCAAAGAGAGTATCAGTCACCTTCACCACAAGGCATGGTTGGTAATCTTATTGTGAGAGACAGTGCATCAGACACAACCTAGACACTGTTTTGGTCTAGGACAATAGACTAAATTACCCACATTTTGCTGACAATGGAGCTCTGCTAAGAGGCAATTCAGCCAACACGCAGATAAAGGCTAAAGAAAGAGTATCCAGCTTTGCAAGAAAAGACTGAGCTGTTAATCGGTTATGATTAAATAAATCCCATGAGAAATCCCAGCAACTTTTAACTCAAGGATTGCTTTATGAGCAAAACAACACACGAAATTAGCCAATTCACACATCAGCATAGTGCAAGGTTCTACAGAAAGCAGTTGGCTCGCAAGCTGGAACTGCATTCACCAGCTTGAACGTGTTCAGACAGCAAATAACCTTTTCAAGGCTTTGTCAAAAAAATCCAACATGGATGGTGGATATTTCCATTTGACTCTGTAGTGCAGTGGTCTGTGGAACAAGTGGGACGAGGAGAAGGTTTCTACTTGCCTTGTGGGCTGGTGGATTTCACCTGGTATTTGCTGGCAACAGGGAATTGAGACTTGAGATATTTGGCTTCAAACCTGAGTCATGAGTGACAGTATTTTCTATGTGCTTCCTTGGTCATGCCACTGCCTGGCTTTAAGGCAGGCCTGCTGCCTTCTCCCTGCTCCAGGTCTTCCCCTGGCTCTATCAGTCTGCTCCAGTTTCTCCCCTCACTTGGCAGAGTTGTGAACAACCACAAACAATGATTCTTAACAAGACTATTGGGAAGCCTGTCCCAGATACACCATCAGTAGGACCCTCCTGGGATTTTTGTTTCTATGGACAAACAGCAACTGGATACATCCCATTCATTACTAGAAAACTACCCCAGGCTGGAGTAAAGGTAACATTTCTGTGAGAGAGGCTGATGTAAAACATGAATGCATTACATACAATTTGATGTTACTGCTGGTTTGTTGCCACACGCAGCACAATTAGATTTCTCAACATAAGAAGTGGTAATCATGTGTAATGGTGTTGCAAAATGAAGGAAAGCAGCAATAAGAAGGTTTTTTTGCATTTCATCAATTAGCAAAAACAATTAATGTATCTTCTTTTGCTTTCATACCTGGTTCAGTACTTGCTGGCTTTTTTCTGCTGGTGCAAGGGCCAAGAGCGGTGAAGAGCTGGAAATGCCAAGGCACATTATACAGATCAGATCAATCCAGGGCTGGCCTCATACTGGCTTTTGAAAGAAAACTCACCAGATTTTTCATAATTGATAGCTTAAGCATAAAACTCAGAATAAGTTCTTTAACATCTAGAACAGCTACAACAGTCAGAAAAAGTCAACTATTTTTTGTTCCCACAAATTTATTAGCACTAGTAATTTCAGCATAAAGTAAGAGACAAAGAGAATTCTTTCTCATTCATTGTGAGCTCTCCTTGCTACTCAAACTTCTGTGCACACCATGTTGAAGGTCTTTTCCCTTTCAGATGCTGCTGTCAGTGATCCTGTCTGTGCTGGGATTCGCAGGAGGAGCATATTGTGTGGTCATCTCTTTGTTGGGGTTGATTTGGGGTCCTCTGTGTGACACAGGTGATGGAGAATACCTCTACCCTTTCAGGAATGACACTCTGGAGTGAGTATGGCCTACAGGCTCCTCCAATTTTGCTTTCTCTGATCCCTCCCTTATCTTTTTACAGTGAACTTGCATTTTTCCAAAATGGACTGACAGTTCACCCTGTGTACACCTAAACCCACATTTCTCTGAGTAGCATGTTTCAGCTGTTCATCTCTTTGACCAAGGAATAATCCTTGAGCAAATTGCCTGAGTTTCATCTGCTGTGCTTGCCACAAGCCCCTTGTGCAATTTGCACCATGTTTTCAAAACAGCCATGAGCTGTGACTCCCACTGGAGCCAAAAGGAAATGTTTCCTTACTGGGACACATTAATCTATAAAATTATCAAGAATTCAGCCTGCTCTACCTACTTCTGAAAAGCAAAGCAAAAATCTTCTCTGAATCCTTAAAGTAAGCCTTGACAACCATGTTCTTGAAGCCAGAGCTAGAGATAATAAATGGACTGGGCTGAGATACCACAGCAGGAATGGAGAATGTGGAGACACATTTAGAAAGCCATTATGGCCCTTTCTCTTTAGTTATTAATATAATTTTGCCATACAACAAAGAGGAGATTCTTGTTCATGCCACAAAGTACAAATGTGGCTCTCTTCCCTAATTATCAATTTCATCTCTGCAAAGGGAATTCTGGGGAGAACAAACAGCTTTGACCAATTATAGTACCATCTGAGACTCAATTTGTGCAATCAAGTTCAGAAAATAAAATGCCAAAAAAAACCAGAAATCATTCTCAAGTTTTTATTTTCTAATACCTTGCCAATTATTTTCCTCTATCACAGAGACAATTATTTGTTTAACCAGACAACATGGAATATTTGCAAACAACCTGAAAACATCATCCTTTGGAATATCGTCCTTTTCTCCATTCTCCTGATCATTGGTGTGATTGAAGCTATTCTTTGTTTCATTCAAGTCATTAATGGACTCACTGGCTTCATATGTGGCACATGTATGAGGAGAAGAAAGGTTGGTATGCAGTAAAAGCGTGCTTTACATTATTTCCAGTTTTATTTTTCAGGCTCTGCTAATGGTACATGAGCTGAGAGATCTGCACAGTCCCTGGACAAGCTCCTCTGGGCAGTACAGATGCATTTGCACACTCTCTTTCTGTCTGTCACATTATAGTCAGGGAAAACCTGGTCCTCAGATTTTTCTAAACAGCAGACAATGCGACATATTGTCATACTGACATACCCATTGCATGGTTCCATTCCTATTTAAAAAGCCTTTCTGACAAAGTGTAATGACCCTCCCTAGCATATGTAAGTGAGAGACAAAAAGTAGAGATGTTTTAAATTGGACAAATGTAGTGATATTGTTATTTTAAAGAATGGAAGAAAACATCTTTCAAATTTCATTTATTACTATTGCTTCCTTTTCATTGTTTATTTTCATTGTACAAGATATTTGCGGTAAGTCAGATATCCCCTGGAATATAACTTAATCACCTTTCATTCATTGCCTTTCAGACAAATATTTCTGGAATGTGAATGACCTACAAGAAATGCCAAGACAAGTCCCGGACTGCCGATTCACATACAATAAGGATAGTGCACTGTACTGTTTTATTTATGGGACGACAACAACAACAACAACAAAAATGTCCAGGTGTTTCACAGGGCAAAATTATTTTTTTGTAAAGAAGTCAGGGTAAAAAAGGGCTAGATCATGTCAGTCTGAGACTCCACATTTTCATCTCTCTAAACATACCCACTAAATTTTAGGTGTTGGAAAAAACATTAATCTATCTGGCCCTTAACGCTGTGCTTGTCTATAAAGCACAAGAGTCCTCAGATAAACGATCACTACTCGCCCTCTCATGTATGTGGGAAATGGAACTGTTGTTAATGTATACATTTATCAGCTGCATGAAGCAGGTGCTCTCTGGCTGACGTAAATAACATCCCGTCCTCCCCAAACCCCACCGTGAGCTCACCTGTCTGTTCCTATTAATTTTTGAATGGGGCACTCACAGATTTGAATGAGTATGAGCAGAGCTTATATCTAGCAGTGCTTGAGACACCGCAGAGGCAGTGAAGAACACCGTTTTCAGCCTCTTTCTGACACCCTGGAGCCAGATCCCCTTGCCAAAGCCCAATGCACTTCTAAATTGGTTCTTCAGGATCATCTGAGTGTTGTGGCAGCCTAAGAGGAACATTTGGGTCAACATAGACAGTAGGGTTTGCAGCAAGAGTTCAGAAATGTCTTCTTTAACAAAAGGGTGAAGAACCTCACCACCAATTTTGCCTTCATAAAACTGCCTCAGAATTTCACTAACTTCCACACAGGTCTGTAGGGCTGTACTAGAATAGTGCATATGGATCAAAGAATTATCTCACCAAAGATAAACAAAGATATATGTAGTAATTATGTGCAGCTTAGTAATAAATGGAAGATACAATCTGAAGGCAGCAAATTGCATCAGCTTTAGTTTTTTAGCAACAGCAATACCAACCAAGAACTGCATTATTCCCCATCATCACTCAAGAGCAAGCACTTGATCTTGAGCTAATGTCCATGACTGGGAAATTTCATAAAACTCACAATTTCAGTGACTTCCTCAAAGGTTAATTCTTGGTCATGAACTGTCTTTCCTTTGTCAGCTAAACCGTCAAATAATCTTTACCCATCCTGAATACATACAGGTAAGCTATGAAAACCTGAATATATTTAAAGCATTTTGAGAAAACATAAATGAGTGAAAATAGGCTCCAAGTTTTTCATCTTTCTGCACTGTAGCTTGGGAGCAAGCTCTTCAAACATACTTATTGCAGACATACATGGATGCTTGTGCTGTCCCCTAATGCAGCATGCAAAATACTTCACATTCTCCTTTATATAAAACGGAGAAGAAAATGTCAGTTGCCTGGATGAGAAGCATATGCACCTTGGAGCATAGTTTCACCCCTAGAAGCAGGAGATTTAACCTGTAAAACTTAAATGCAACTTCTGTAAAGAATAAAGCATAAGACTTGTTGAAGATTGCAAATCCATCACTAGGTGCATCCAAACGTGTCAGGTGGCTTAAAAAGCTCATGTTCATTGCTGGCAGGGAAGCATAGACAGTGCTACCACATTTAGCAGACAGCAACCCAGGAAAAAATTAAAGAGGCAGCAGGAAATAAGGATAGTCACATGTAGTCAGGTGGGGAGAGACTCCTCCATAAGCACAGGGGCTCTATGATCTCTTCACAGTCCCTAAATACCTGCCCTTCCTCACCCCTTAGTTTTGGTTCCCTGATTCTCACCTCTAGGGTAAAGCCAACTTTGGCTGTGCTAGCACCAGCAGGGGAAGAGAAACCCACTGGCACACCTCCAGCGCAGAAAAATAAATGCACTGTGCTGCTGCCATCTGCTTGTTCCAGGCTGTCCTGCTCTGGGGATGTCTGTGTGCTCTGGGGAACACCCTTTGTCTTGCCAACTGTGTGAGCACTGGCCTCACTGATATATGTAAATATTAAATATTGCTATTCTGAACTTATTTTCTGGCTTCATTTTTGTGGTCTGAAGGACTTTTGAGTTCAAACTACCTCCAATAGGAAGATAAATGGAATAACAGAGAAAGCAGAGTTAAATCATCTAACTTGAATCACCATGAAATCTCTTCCAGGGTAGGCATCAAGATACATAGGCCATGAGGAGAGGCAACCTTCCCCCAGCCCACACTGAAAGAGACGCCTAAGGCAAGTGGGAGACATTGCCTTTCTGATCAAGGTTCAGTTGTCCACCATGGACAAGAACATCTGATGACATTTGAAGTGCAGCAAAGATGTCCTCTCACAGATGCCCAGAGATCCAAGAGTCTCATCTGGAGCTAACAACATGAAGGTGTGGATGACCAAAGCAAACAGTTGTATCTTGCAAACACAAGGATGCTAAAAATTCATTTACTGAAAATACATAAAGGTGACTAAAATTAGATTAAATTATTTAATCTCATGCTTTTTTGGATCCCCCAAATCACCTTCTACATGAGTCAAAGCCTGTCCTCTCAGAAGTGTCACCAGAGCCTTCTCCAGGAGCTGGCCAGCACATTGCAACGGGGGCAGCTCCTCATGCTGAGCACTGCAGGAAGACCTGTGAACCCAAGCTCTTCTGGTGGGCAAGGCTTCAAAAGAAAATGTCTACATAGTACTAAACATAATAAAAACTTTGGTTTGAACAGAGAATTGGCTTGACTGAAGATAAGATAGCATGTTTTAGAATTAGGATTACAAGAGATTTTAAGTTGTTGAGTTGGGGTTTTTTGAAAAATGGAAAGAAATCTTTCAGGAAAATCTCCTAGCAAAGGGAAAGAGCAATTTTGTCCTTGAAATGTTTTTTTGTATGGTATACATGAAGAACTTCTTCTATATCTAACTTTTCTCTATAGTCATCCATCTATCTATCTATCTATCTATCTATCTATCTATCTATCATCTATCTATATATCTATATATTTTCTGTATCTATCAAATTTAAATAAGTAACAGTCAAAAACTACCCAGATGTAAAGACAAATATATTTGTGTAATTTTGATATGAATTCATTGTGCAATCACACTCTACACAGGCTCTGATTGAAAGACTTAAATATGTTGGGCTTGCATCAAATTATTCCTCTTTATCCTGCATTTGAAACACATGCAGGAGATCAGCCACTTGCAATTAGGACTAACTTTAGATAGAAATAAAATCTAGACCAGGGACATCATCTGAAAAATGTAAATGTTTGCAAACCAACAGCCCCGTGTTTCAGCTGTCAGGATCAAGGACACAATCCAAATACCTCGGCTGGAGACCACAGACTAGTTCATATCCTCTCATTTCAAGAGGAGCTGTTGGTTCATTTTGATGCAAATGTTTTAGATGCCTCACGTCCCAGGACTCAATGTTCTCGAATTTTTTTCAGCTTGCAGAGCAAAGTAAACCAGTGAGAGGTTGATTCTTGCAGACCTCAGAGTGTTTTGGCCTCTGCTTTACTGTCCCAGTCCCAGCCCTGTGCCTCTGCTCTCAGGTGAACTCTTAGGTGCAAACAAACCCCAAAAAATCCAAAAGGGAATAAAAACCTTTTCAGACTCTCTGAGTGCTTTATTTCATCTCCTACAGTGCACCAGCTCTTTGGGCTTGTCCCTTTCCAGAGGAGTGACAGCCAGCCTTCAGAAATGCCCTTCCCTGTAGGACCTCTCTCACCTGGAAGTGCCCATGGGCCACAGAGAGCCATCCAAATCCTATCAGCAATAATATTATTTAACCCAGAAAGGCAGAGGAAAGGCATGGTCTTAGGCACAGAGCCCACTGCTTTGTCCATCTTTGTTTCTTCCTGTCGGTCAGCTTCAAAGCTGAGTAGCTCACTACAGTGCTTACAACTTTAAAAGCTGCTCACTACATTGCAGGTAATTTCTACAATACATAGAAAACTCCACTGGTACACAGCACTCCTCACTTTCTTTCAGGTATTCCTCTCTTCTTTTCAACAACCTATGTCAGAGTCTGTTCCATCAAGGTCAACTAATAAGGTGTCAGAGTTAAGAGTTAAACTGAGTATCATAGAATCACAGAGTGGTTTGAGTTAGAAGGGACCTTATAATCCTCTAGTTCCAACCCTCTTTCACAGGCAGGGATACCTTCCACTGGACTGGGTTGCTCAGAGGCCCGTCCAACACAGCCTTAAGCACTTCCAGGGATGTGGCATCCACAGCAGCCTGTGCCAGTGCCTCACCACCCTCACAGTAAAGATTTCTTTGTGATCTCTAATCTAAACTTACCCTCTTTCAGTTTAAAGTCATTGCTCCTTGTCCTGTCACTACATGCCCCTGGAAAAAGTCGCTCCTCAGCTTTCTTGTCTTCCCTTCAGCTACTGGAAAGAACTTGTATCCCCTAAGCTCAGAACCATTGGAGATACACCAGAATACCTTGGCTGCTATTCCAGGAGGGCAAGGTGTCTCCAACAGGGACTGTAACCTCTACTTGGCCAAGTGAACAACTCAGAGGTTTTATAGCATCTCAGGTGAGAGCAGCCATCTCTATGTGAGCATTCAAATCAAGCTCTGAAACATCTACTGGGTACAGTGACACTGCTCTTAGAAGTAGCCCTGAGTTCATCAGTCTGAGACCTGTTCTCACTCTGTCCTGCCTCACAAGACTGGAAACAGGTCAGTCAATCACCCCCTAAGGTTGTGTATTTCTCCCCATGGGTTAATCTGGGAACTTGAAGTGCATGAAGCATGGCAGATGGCACCAAAGCCCCCCATCATGAGCAGGGAGTGAAGCCCACCTCAAAAATCTCTTAATTGGTGAGATTTCATTTTTTTTTTCCCCCCCTTAAAATAGATGCATTAGCTGAGAGCCATTTAATGTCAAAAGAGTACAATAACAGAGTCAGTGAGGAAGTGGTCTTGGCATAAGCTTGTATTTTTACAATCCTTCTTCCTTGTACTGTATATCAGCAAAAACCACTCCAGATTTAGATGAACTACCTTACACATCCTCTTTCTCTAAGTCTCCTTCATCTCCTCATGTAATGTTTTCGCTTACGTTGTGTCCTACCACATCTGCCCTCCACCCCTCTGGGTCTTTAAATGAAGTTTGTCTGGAGAATTTTATGCTTGACAATTTTTTTGGTTTTTTTCCCAAGAGATGAAAAGAAGCAGGGTCAGTCCAGAAATCATCTGCAGATGTCAAGTTCAAATCTTGCTTTGGGCATGTTGAATTTAGTTGACCCTCACATGAAGGGTGCAAGGTCAGGTATGTCCTCCCAGGAGTGACTGATTGCAGAGCAGACTGAGACCTGGCTGCATTCACCCTCAGCCACATGCACCTTCAACCTTTTCCTGTTCCTGCCTACAAAATATGCTGCAAAACACTTGTTCATAGAAAAAAGGCTTAGTATGTGTACATTGTTTTAAAAGTTTGTGGAACACCCATTTTGAGCTAGCAAAGCAAACCAGAGAAACCAATAGCTCCACTGCCACTGGCAATGGAGCTGCAGTTTCTAGGACCTTGCAGCAGGTTCATTTAAGGTGGAAGGGAGTGTTTCTAATTACCACCCCAAAAAACATGCCTTTAAAATGCACAGTGTCCCTTTTTGTACTTAAAATAATTGGGTCAAATTTAAAAGTCATCACTCAGTGAAAATAGCATTTGATTTTAAATATAAAGTAATATTTTTCTTAAGGTAGGTTAAGTAATCATCTGGTTGTTAGGCTTTTTCATCACTTTTAATTTTCACTTCATTTTAAACACTAATTATAGAGTCTTCCCACCAGATCACTACATAACTTACTAGAACCTTTATTTCCCCTTGTACAGAGAGGTGTCACAGAAAACATGGAGTTCCTGCACCTTTCCCCTTTTCTTCTCACAGCCATCACCTATGTGCCTGTGTGTTCCTACCATGTCCTGCCAAGAGGATGTGCTTAGCCCGTGCCACTGTCACTTCCATGCACAGCTACTCCTGTCTGTCTGCAGGAGCTGGTGCACTGCAGAAAACCTGCCTAAAGATTTGGCCTTTCACTCAGAGTCCATCTGAGGAGAAGACATCTGAGATTTCCCTGTGGAAAGCAGCTACCCACTCCACGGATGAAAAAATGTATCCAGGAAAGCCACACATGTACCCTAAACAGGCAGATTTTACACAGAATTGGTTATAAAGAGCCATACACGGACAGACGGTAAGGACTGACAGAGCAACTAAAAAGATACCGGTGTGGCAACTCTACAGTAAATGCAACCAACTTAATTCTGTAATGCATATTTGAGGTTTTTCCCCAGAATTATTTCTGTTTACAGAGAGCTTCACAAAGTTTGAAAATCTGTATCATTCCTATAGTTTCATTGAAGCGTCCCATACCACCTTGCTTTCCTACCACTTTCCAATAATTGCTTTGAGTATCATCAGATAGCTCCCTTCATTGGTCCATATATAATATTTTTTTACTGTTTCCTAGGTTTATTTTGATCATTGCTGAGAGTTTAGATTAGTCAACTTTAAACAGACAAATTCTTGGCCTATCTTCTGCTTTAGCCTTTAACCCAGAGAAATATGGATTATCTTCATGCCATTTCATATCAGACAAAACATAACATTTCCTCTACTTTAAGCCAATCTGGTAACACCACTCACATCAGTGTTCCATTATGCATATCAACACTAATTCCTATGGTCTTAATCTTTGCTCCTCACAAAAATAAGATTTGCTATCTACTGGAGAAGGGGAAGGCTGCAGAATTGCCAGTGTTTTTCCAAGGACTGAGACTCTGCATTCAGTTCTCCAGACCTTTGGGCATATCACTCTGTTTCATACTGCTTCTTTTCTTGCAAAGTCCAGCAAATACTCAGCAGTTTCTTTACAAGGCACCACTATTTCCACTGATTTTTTTCAGATCGTGTACTCGATCAAAGAATATTATCATCACACTATTATTCCTCTCTATAACCTAAATTAAGCAACAGAAAATGGCTCTAAATATACCAGGCTTGGTATCTCTGAGTGTATTTTTTACATTAACTTTAGCTACTGGAATTTGGGCTTCTTGGAAAAGCAGAAAGGATCAGCAGAACAGGAACCCAACAGAGATGGCCATGGTTGGAGGCAGGAATATAAAGGTTGTCATTGGGTTGTTTACTGCAACAGGTAAGCTTTCTTAAAACACTTTTAAAAACTCTTCTTAAAACACATGTATTGCATAGATCTGGGTGACTTTTCTTTCAAAGGAAATGAACTCCTTTAATGTCAGGGTAGACTTTGCCTAAGTGTGACTTTAAAGGAGTATGGTTTCATGAATCATTTTGGGATGGATTCTTGCAAACCTCTTCACACTGAGCAGAACCTAATGTTTATGTAGATTCTCTTAAATTAAAGAGATTCATTTAAGAGTTTAGTTAAGAGTTAAGAGTGACAAAGGAATACAACAAGTTTCATTAAGGAGGACTGTGGTCTTAATCATGAACCAGTTTCTGTTATCTAGCATAACAGAAGAATTTTACTCACAGAAAAGTCCAGTTCTCTGTGAATAAAATGTCACTCATTGTGAGCATTGGTCTCTCTTAAAGAGAGAGTTTCCCTCAACTTCCCTTTTCTCTTCTTGCTGTCTGGCATAATCTGAAACTTATTTCGCTGACCCTGTTTTTTGTAAAGGCAACCCCCAGCGGCATTTGCCTGGTTAAAACACTTAAATCATTGTTGTAGGTTTGTTATCTGACTGCATTGCCTGTTTGCATTTGTTTTCTCTAATGTCTATTTCCTAAGACCCTGTAAGTTATGCTTTCGAGTGAGGGCAATTATACAAAGACATTT